ACAAATAGAAGGCTGACGACCAACACTCTGTGTAACTTGCTTGATCTCCGCTTCGCGACCTATTTAGATTTTGATGCACGTCTATGAGCAATTGAAAGAAGTACCAGTGCGGTCCCCTGTTTTAGGCCAAGTTGTAGAGTCGGGAATAAAAAATTTGAAAAGAATGTGTTGCCAACAATCAACCAAAAGTTGTGTAAGCGATACAACGATGACTCATTCTTGATAGAGACACTTAGTCAAGCACACACTACATGCCAGTTGTTTAATACCAGAGACCTCTGACAATGACCTGTAACAAACGCTTAAATTTTATAATTGATTTAATGATAAGAATCCAACCCGCATTCACGGATGTGTTCATCAACAGGCCGATTGGCGGAGATTTGCAACCATCGGTTCAGAGGAAACACATACCAAGCCGATTTTAAACTACTTCTCTAATCCACCGGAAATGTTACAAACTAAGCTGCGTGCGAACTCTCTTTGAGAGGATTGAAAGACATTGCAAAACCAAAGTGGCAAAGAGCAAATAAGCTAGATCTGTTTATATCAGTTCTACTTAACAAATATCCACAGTGTATATTTGTGGCATAGCAACTACCTTGCCGCCCGGGTCGGACGCAAAATTGCCACCCGGTGGCGTTGGTAAATCAGTAAATCCTCAGAATCCTTAAATACTCCGTTACATATGACAACAAGCAAAGATCAAATTATATATTGCTGCCGTAACTTCACACAGATTTTGTTTTACATTGCATGTGAACAAGTGTAACAGATACACCTATCGCGCATTACATGAGGTGGTAGTTTTCAAAGCACTAACCATCATCAAGTTCACTCTCCATGCCCAGAATTTTCAATCTGCAAGCTTTTCTGATTCGGTGATGCTTTAACGCAGTTCATTATAAATTTGCGCCTAAAGAATGCGCTCTTTCAGCTTGCTGGGCTAATAGTTCGGCTAAGAAACATGTGCAGCATATCCCCAAGGTGCGATTTTTGCATTAAGCTCAAATACCAAGACGTTCCATTATTTCTGTCGTTTCATGAAACTATCCAAAATACGGAACACTTCTAGTTTGGACAAGGAATTCCTTCTTTAGTGTATCGTGGTCGAATTCATTAGGTGGACAAACTTATTTATCATCAAACAAACTTGACGTGGTAAAAAAAGCATACTTGTTCGCAAGGACATGATTTTGCTGAAATCTATGGCGTTGTATCAGTCAAACGGTCTATGAGAGACAGCCCTTTCGGTTCCAACTCAACATTAAATCACATAGATATATCAAACAGTTCTTCACCGTCAATTCGTTTTCTTTGGTAGATTTGACGCTTCATGCTTAACCCCAATCCAGCGCATGGCCTATGTTTTCAACCGTTGCAATGTGCACCATGTTACCTCTATTCAGAAGAAGGCTAGCTTCTAAAGCTGTAAGCTTGACAAAATTTATTCGCTGATCCAGCCCATTTGTTCAGACACCTGTGTCCTCCGCTTCTATGGAAATAGATCTCTAAATGCTCAGAATCAAAATAAACGAAAAGTTAATAGCGATTTAAGTAGTAAACACGCAGCTGAGCTTGTGGTTACATTTGCTTATCCTGCGAAATGTTCCACAACAGTGAAGTGTTCCTAGTATTTCTTCACCATAATATGCACAGCATCTGCTCATCGACTCAGTCTAGATTTTAACTTTGGCTAATAATAAAGATGACTTGAATCAAAGCTTTCAAGTAGTATTTAAATGGAAATTACTGACAATAGCTGGTCTGTCGTATCAAAAATGCGACAGGATGAATCGCCGGAGAAGCCGATGTGTTATCTCGTCATACTAACGTCATTTCTAAATGTTTAGCCACGACCGTCGTCAGCAAGAATTCTAGCCACCGTTAGTTATCAAAATCCAGTCCAGAAATTTTCGCTGTCCTTTTGCTGTTAACCTCAAGAACCTGAGAAACGACTCTTCTAACATCCCTTTATATTTACTCAACTGCTTTTCGTGTGATGCACTGGGAAGGCTAATAAAAACTTTAAAAATACTTTCTTTCCTTTGACTGTATGATTTACTTTCTCACCTGATTTACCAAAATATTTACTAATTCATTTCGAAAGAAAGCCTCAAAGTAAACTCGCTGATTTGCTTCCCAGCTGAATTGGCACCAAAGTTTTCGCAAAGCACACGCTCACACATGGGAAAGGACTATATAAATTCTAAAAAATTCCCATTATTTTCGGCTTCTTTTGCCATCCAGGATATCTTCTCGGTGACCACACAGTGCCATGCTTTGCTTGCTGAACAGCCTGACCATAGCAAGCATTCTAGCTAAATTTCAGGCCATCACGTTTCTACAACTGTTTGTTCCATTTGGTCAAGTGCGCTCCCTTTTGGGTTGCTAACTTCCTGAATGGCCGAATCATGCAAGTTAAAGTGAACGATAAATATTCTAATCCTGTTTTTATGATCAGCGGGGTCCCACAGTCCTCTCGCTTTGGTTATGAACTCTTCAAATCCACATCCAGGATCTTTCATCGTAGCTCCGAAGTGATCGCCTTATATATGCTGATGGTCTTAAAATGTGGCTAGAGGTGTCCAGACTGGATGACGTAGACTTGCTACAGACAAAGCTGGACCGGCTCCACTGCTGGTCATGGGAATGGCAGCTACCCATTAAACAGGCTAAGTGTTGCTTCCCCCCACTTTACGCCCCAGACCCATTTGGTGCTTAACATATTGTTGGTTTCCATATCATGAACGCAGCCTTGGAGAAAGATCTTGGAGTTATTGTCACGCCAAGCATACGCAGGACACAAAGCACCCTAAGAAAACTTGGGGATGCTAATAGGGAGCTTTTCTCTATAAGGAGAACTATTTTCCAGATATATTCCGACATTCCTTCAGTTCTCAGGTTCGACCAATCCTAGTGAAAGGTTTGCCAGCTTCCTGTTCTCCCATGAAAGGCAAATGCGCGCTGATAGAGAAGGCTCAACTGCGGGGATCGAAATACGTCATAACACACCGGAACCTGTCTTACACTTATCGCATTCAAAGGATAAACTTGTTCTACCTGGAGTATCGCCGGCCCCCTTGGCGATTTGATTTCAGGCGACGTATTCTTCTAGGTGAGATTGGGGATGAGATGCAAGTGCTTGTGCTTATTTGTGCGGATAGTTCGACACGACGCCAGAGTATGATGCGTTTTTAAACCAAGGAGGCTTCAAGTTCTCTCTGACAAAGTTGTATCAAGTCGTGGATCAATAAATGGAACAGTTTACCCGGGTTCATCGTCAGTAGCAAATGTTTCAACGGGTTGCAAGACAAACACTTGCCGGACAAGCATGGATATTGCTGTGTTGACTGCAACCGCAACGTTCCATTGTGGAACCCTGCGTGCGTGACAGTAATGAACTATATCAAGTCCTATACCCATTATAGGCAGGGGCCACGATGTCTATAGAGTACGATCCCAGTGAGAACTGAAGAAAAACAACTTGAAACGTCTTCAGGATCTTATGGATGAGCATAAGAAGATTCGGAGCCACCATGGAAGCAGTGTTTGTTAGGTCATATTCAGCCTTCGTTAAGCAACGCTTGGGGCACCGCGTGTAGGTTTGTTTAGTTTGCTTATCCAGGAAGAGTTTATTCGAGGGAATGTTTAGAGTTGGAACAACTTGGGTTAGGACATTTTTCACTGCAACATCGTCACATCCAGGCGATTTGATATTAACCAGTTGTATATATACCGTAAAATTCAGGCCTAGTGTATCTTTGCTTTTCCAGCCATTTTGGCTCTCATCTCTCTGGGATCGTGGGATAAAGTTACACAAATCTCCATCTGATGGTGTCTGGAAGGACGTTTGTTCATCGCGCAGGGTAGCAGATTTTAGGAATACGCCACTTGTAAACATGGCTCTCTCACCAACGGTTAAATGGTTTACAACGGCGTGACGCCTTAAGACTTCAGTTTTAACTTCTCCACTCACACCTTAGCTTATGTTTATTATAGTATTATTAGCTATAATATATTTATTTATTTCCTAATCTTGTTTCTTGATTCATGTGACCGGTGCGGCCATTTTTGCCCATGCAGGTTAAGCGAGTATCATTTGACTGACCGCTGTCTCATTATCGCGTGATGATCTGACTTTCCTAGAATGTAGTTCTCACAGATAAATAATACAACGGAATCACGAAATGCCCAGTAAGGAAGCTTCATGTGAATTTCTCCGAAGGTTCCAGTTCTACTAGAACTTGAAGCCAAAACATCGCAAACTCTAATTCTATCACAAATAAAGTAACTCTTCTTGATAATTATTTCTTAGCTATTATCAAGAACAACCAAATAACTTTAGCTCGGGTATCTTGCTTTTAGATTTTAATAAGCATATACCAATGTATATCGATCAAAAGTTCACGAAAAATACAATTACTTTTCACAAAAGCATATTTCATCCAAATCCAAAGAACACTGTGGAACCAATCACTAATGATGGACATTGTTCGGTGAAAAGTAGCGCATTTGAAATTAATTTGCAAGCGAATTCCTGTAACGTTTTCAAATAGCATTCGATCCACGCTATCAAGCGAACAGTTCGCAATAGACTTTGCAAAAACATACCGTAAACGCAACCAAGTCGAACATCAAAATGCATCAATGAATATTTTAAAATTTAGGTCATCTGCACACATATGTATGCCATGCACCGACAAGGAAACGAACATGACAAACATTTAAAACAATGATTTTTGATTGTTGGCATATGAGTTCATTAACAAGACATATTAAAAATCAAACACGATTTAAAACGTAATATAAGAAACCTGTACAGCAAAAGTACAAACTGTCAGTAGTGATTAAAACTGTGTGATTCCAATTTCAACTTCCGAACTTCATGTCTTTGTAGAAAAATTAAACATTGGTTCTATGAACTTTATATACAAGGTGTAATTTACCAATACAATATTTTTGTCCTTATTCATTTCATAAATTGTGTTAACGTGCAGGTGCGGCAACCCCAGTGAACGCTACGGCAATATCATTAAATGCATCAGGTAATCTTACTGAAAGTGAGTAAAACCATTCTGGAAAGTATGAGCATCTATAGTAAGGCTAATTTAACTGTGATAGAATTTGTTCGAAAATTTCACCTGTCACTGAAAGGTGTCTAACTAGTAAATTAAGTAAATTTAGTTATATATAATACATAATTTGCCATGCTTTTTGTTAAAGATGCAAATTATATCTTACCATCTATCTGAAAATTTGGTTGTCAAGGTCTAATGAACATTTTTATCGCATGGATAATTTTGGTTTTCAGAAATAACTGACGAGTTTTCAGGAATGTTGTTTCCTAGTGTATGTTAAAATCTTACAAACCGAAAGTAATTTAATGGTTTGGGAGCTAGTATTTCTTACTTTACATTTGACGTAGTAACCAGCAACTAACCATCAACTAAATCATATGTTTCTAAGGATGTCGCTTCTTGATTTTATATGTTCTCAAATAGGTAATCTCAGATAAACCAAGACCATATTTCTATATAAATATATATATATTGTAAACCAGTTTCCCTTACAGCTAAATAGTAGGCCTTTTTAGGTGATTCATTCAAAAATATTTTGATGTTAGGATTAGGGCGAAGGAGGTTGGTAGGATAATTTCATCTGCTAGTGAAATATTTTTGACCGCAAATTCCTTAATGTTCTAATATGATTTTTGTGTTCACTGCAAAATGAAGGCAGTTAATGACAGAAATTTGCTGAGAGTTTGTAAAGCGTAACAGTATCGTTCACAATGTGTTCATCACACGCACTAATGTTTATCGAAAACAGAAGAATTTACAGTGATATTTTTCTCATTTACCATCCAAATATTATTTGATAAATTGCAGGTGAAACAACATCCTCTCAAAATACAAGTCCGACTTCCATTACCGTTGCGGAACTAACAACAAGTAAGAGAAGTAGGTATACGTGTTAGGAATATTATATGTGCTAGAGGTCTTTGTGCGCATGATTGCAGAAAACGGTTCTATTGTTACATGATGTTGTTCAGCCACTTTTTTTAATTCAAAAGTCAACTCAGTGCTTAGTAACTTCAATAACGGATTCCATACCTCAACTAAAATAATTTAGACTGGATCATAGAACCGTTCCACACGTGCATTTTCCTCGATCAGATCACACATACGAATGCTTCAACACCGTCTTGCTGGTATTATATTGTTGGTAGCACCCGCGTCTAACTGGAAGCGCAAGTTTTCATAGCATACCTAATAAACCTGCGTAGACAAAATTCTTTGGTCCCGTCCGCGACAAGTCTCCAGCAGAATATTCAGAGAGCTTTGTGTCACAAATGAGTGTATTCACTTAGGAAGATTGGTAGACATTTACGAATAATTTTCTAAGTGTTCAACAGTCTCAACCGTGCCTTTCAACCAGTGAGTGCAAGTTATTTTCGTACTGGCTCTAACACACCCATGAGCCACTTCACTACAGAAGGAAAGGGGGATGAGGACATGCCAATTATCGATCGCAGAGGTTCTGCGGCTTGTGCAACTTTGAAGTTTATAAATCCTGTAGGACTGTAAGCCCACAGGAGTTAGCCGGTCAAGCAAGGGTCTTGTCTTAACTGCTTCAAAGTCTTGGTGATCATGATCTTATCCTGCGGGGTTTTATTCCTTTGAATAGTCTCGCGCGTAAAATTGGGCGTGTCTTGTAAAATGGATAGAAGGTTGGAGGTGTAGTTAGTCTTATTAGCACCAAACCAAAAGCTATGTCCGGTGTTGAAAGCAACACATCAGTATTCACCCTAGATTTTCTGGTGGGGTCTCGGTATTTCCTTGATAACCTATTATATGAATTAGCATCACCAGCAAGGTGTTGTTATGCGAGGTGTACCAGCGTTGTTTTTTAAGTATCATCAGCAAGAGAGAACGTGAGCGTCACATCCGTTAGTTGGTCTGTAGGTGTAGGAACTGGGTTTCGATAGGAACTTGTACACTGGCTGGTTGTGTATGCTAGAATTTCGATCCAAATTGTAATGGCTTGATGAGAATTGTTAACAGAAAATGATTTGATAACCATAGGAATGTAAAGTACAGATAAAACAATGCTACTGCTATTTATTGACGTGTTTGGTTTCTCTCAGTGTATTCGGTCCGTTACCATGCTATAACGCCAAAGTTGGCCTGAATAAACTAGAAGCTATAGGTGTAAAGTGCACAAAAGATAGTAGGCCTCAGCATTTCACTATCCTCTCGGTTTGAGCAGCGCTGATTTTAACGCCTAATTCATTAAATTATACACCGTTTTCGGATGTTGTCGAAGCCTCTGACTCCGTTATTTCATCCCGTGTATCCGTGTCTGCGACTGGAGATTGTACAGATGTTGAGAAATGTGTGCCTAAGGTCGCTGGCTTCAAGTGGTTGAAGGGAACAATCGCTGCTCGGTCTCTATTCGCAGAGTTTCTAAAGATAAGAGATGTGCAGTCTGTGTAAACCTCTTGGACAACGAATGGACCACCCCAATCTTTGTGTACTTTAGATGGGATACGCTGCAACGGACTCAGATAGTGAAGATATACATGCTACCCAGTTTGCAGCGGGCACCAATGTACCCTTTGAGCATTGAATTCCTGACATCAACGCGCCGTTCTTATTTGCTCACGGGCCAATTTATACGCAGTGACCAAGACCCCTATCAGACTAACGTCTAGTCAATGGCATAAAGCGAATCAAAAGCGACGGTTGGAATGGAAGGATCGATCAATAGTTTCTTCTGAGGTCCAGTTAAATTGAAGTGCGAGGTATGGTCCTTGGAATAATGCAGCCTCCACCAATAGGCCCTAATACATCGTGGAATTAGAATGTCCCATTCGTTGGAATTTTGGTTCTTTTGTAATTGCCTTTGAAAGCGCCTTCAGCAATCGATCGGTGGGATCCAATTGTCCGTTACATTGGAGACTATAAAAAGTGGTCAGTATTTTTCTAATTCCTATAATTCGGCAGAGTTCGGACCCAGTTGATTTCTAGACTTTCGAACCGCAAACCGTGTGAAGTTGCTCGGGCGCACCCCATAGTGTTATCCAATGGTTAAACAGTGGCTGTGCAGTGGCTCTGGTGTCTAGATATGAGGCTGGTATAGCTGCGCATTACTTAGTGTAATGATCGACCATGACAAATAGATAGCGATTCCCCCGGGGTTTTTTCCGACAGTATTATCACTGTAATTGCTTACCGTTCATCGTGCGTAGCTACTTGAAGCAAGTGCACTCACGGTGCGCGTTACAAAGTTTATGATAGCACGACGTTGTTTGGGATACAAAAAGCTTAAGCCCGCCGCTTGTTCCATTGTTCGCTGCTCTGCATGCCTCAACAATATATACAAATCTTCAGGCCCCTACTGGACGTTCGACTGAGGTATTATTAGCTGGTGGGTGTAGTTCAGCCGAAACGTTTGTCATATAACGCAATGCAGCAACCGAGCTTTCGGAACACGTGACCACGAGGTACTTTCCAGTTTGATCCAGCCATTACTGTTTGAATGAGCTTCACATCCTCTTGCGGTAGGCTGAATAATGAATACTGTAGTATAGAGCATTAGAAAGGAATTCTGTACGATTCTTTCGCAATATGTTGAAAATCGTTATAAAAGTTTCCAACCTTGATTATCGTTGTCGTTCTCATGTAATATTTAAAATATCTGACATACTATATTTCAGGATTAACAAATGTGAGGTCGTTCTCTGAATCGAATAGTGGCGAAATGCAAATCTAACAACGTTTTGAACTGTTGCACAGATGTTGCCTCAATCACATGTTTAGGTAAACTGTTCCAAATGTTTACCACTCTCTTTTCGAAGCACAATAGGTGGGGAACGCATATCACATCCGGCAGGACAAGTTTGTATCTGTGTCCACGTGTGCTGCATGGCCCTCGTAAGTGCAGTATTGGCCTTGGCATTGGGAAGTCACCGAGAACTAGAATACGGTAGGCCATAATGAGGTCGACTCGCACCCGACGGCAAGACAATGTGTAGAGTCCTAGTTTCTCGCACCGGTCTTCATACCCAAAGCCATGTAAATTTGGGATCAGCCTGGTAGCAACGTGTTGGACCCGTTCGATCTTTTGTGCCTCACCTCGGGTAATCGGAAAGTAGTTTGGCGAACAGTACTATAGCACTGGTCTAATGATGGAAGAGAAGAGGTGCGTGACAACCTCTTCGGACCATGTGCCGAAGCTACGTTTGAGGGCCCAAAGTATGCGCAGTCCGTTACGATATAGCCCGTTCGTGTTGTCCATGGACTACAAATCTTAGCGCGAGAGTACACCTAGGTCTTTCATGGAGGGTGTGCGATATGATGTTTGGCCGTCAAGGGTGTAGGTTCGGCCGTTAGCACCCTTCACCAGGCTCATAAATACAGACTTGGCTGGGTTGACCAGGAGAAGAAATACTGCTGACTATATGGATAGGCGGTTGAGCTCTTGCTGAAGTAGGCCACAGTATAGGAAGCGTCGATTTCCCTCTAATACTTTACGTCGTCCGCAAAGTAGGCACACGGTGACCGGAGCAGCTGCGGTAGATCGTTGATGTGGATCAGGAACAGAGTGGGCCCCAGCACAGTGAATTGAATCGCGCCACTTGTAGATGGGTACCAGTCCGTTAGATGATCGTCAACCTGTACCCTCCACTTTCGTCCAACAAGAAAGTCGCGGATCCACCGGTGCAGTGAGCCACAGACACCACACATTTTGAGTTTAAGAAGGAGAACCGCATGAATGACCTTGGCAAACGCTTTACTTAAATCGATGAATAAAACTTCGACGGACTTCCCCTTGCTTATTGCCTTAAACCACTCATGCCTCGTCACAAGCAGGTTCGTAATGCATGAGCGACCTTGCATAAAACCGTGCTGTGCGGGCGTCAGGATCTCGTTTGACTGTAGCAACTGCAGCAATCCCTTCTTCACGATTTTCTCAGCAACATTTGCCAAAATAGGTGTCAGACAAATTGGTCTGTAAGTATGTACTTTGCTAGGGTATCCGCCCTTCAGAATAGGCTTCACCTCCGAACATTTCCAGTCAACCGGCAAGAAACCTTCGAACAGCCACCTGTTGTAAAGGTCAGTCACGACAGGAGAGAGGGTGGTTGAAATTGACTTGAGAACCAGTGCGTGAAGCCCATCAAGTCCGGCAGGTTTGGTGCCGTCAAGGTTGGCGAGTAGTTGAGCTAACTCTTCAACGCCGCAATGCAGACTATCGAGTTCGTTAAGAGCGGTACAAATGGAAAGCGGAATTGACACCTGGTTATTCGCAAATACAGAAGCGAAGTGCGACGCCAGCGCGAGCGCACGCTCAGTGCTGGAGGTTAGGGGCTATCCATCCGTGCCAGCCAGTACTGGCACATCACCTGCCGGCTTTAGGCTGCACGTATGCAAAACTTCTCTTTGGGGCAATCATCGTGGCTAGTGCGAGCTGCTCTTCGTAATGTCGGCGTTTATTCTTTTTTACACAATTGCAGAGGTTCCGCTGACTTTATATACTTTTCTTAATCATTGGCAAAGCCAGAAAGAAGGAATTTGCCCCACAGTCTGCGCCGCCTCCGAGCCTGGTTTTCATACGCCTGGTCAAACCAATTAGGCTTAATCGGCCTCACTTTACGACATTTCAATGACACAAATTGGGTACACAATGATGTCAATTTCTCTTTTATAAATATTTAACAATCTTCAACAGATGCAGCCTGTGATAGAGACCAATCCAGTTGGCTCGCGGCTCGAGCTAGACCATCGAATTCCGTCTTTCAGTAGTTGTGAGCTGGTTGCAGTTGATGTGAATGCGGCAAAGATAATTCCTTATCGGCTATCGGTACTGAGTGGTCGCTCGTAGCCAGGGGCTCCAGGATCCTAACGTCAAGCACTCGTTGTTCATAGTTTGTTAACATCAGATCGAAACATGACGGGGTTGAACGTGTTGATA